GTATACCATTGCCTCCAAATCTCACCACCACCACCTCCATCATCACCAAGCTCATCTCAACAATCTTTTCTCGAGCCCACTAGTGCTCAGCTTCTCCTCCAGTGTTTTGGTCTTCTCCCCTTCTATTTCTGTCATCATCACACACTGTCCTCATAGTGACCGAATCGGCGGCCTCCTCTGTCGAGTGATGCGGGTCCACCGACCTTCTTTTCGGCCCCCTCTTTTTCTCTCACTGTACACATCTCACCTGATTGCATCAGCGCACACCGCCGCCACCGCCAGCAAGTCGTAGTCAATTCCCTTCTACAGCCACCACTGCACTGTTCTATTGCCTATTGTTTCCCGTGAAAGATTGGCCATTCTTTAGCTGCTTTAGCTCTTTCTGCGCCCATTGAAGCCGAACCAAATCGGCCAAACTCTTTCTGTCTCTATTCTCTGTTGGCCATTCTGGGCAGCAAACCATTCAAGTGCATCTGCACTGTCTCTGCTGTGTTTCAGTGTGACCAAGCCAACAAGAATGTGCGCCCCCTAAGACTTCATTCATTCACTCACTCACACAGATTCCACAGCCATTCTTGTCCTTTTCTTCTTCTTCCTACCCGCTTGTCTAATTAGCTCTAATTAGGCTCCATTTTAGTCCGGGCGATTTCGTCTAATTGAATCGACTGTGACTGAGACACAAAGGCGGCTGCTTCTTCTGCCTCTGCCGTTGCTGCTTCTCGGCGAACTAGTTCTGTCAGTTGCAAGANCTACCCGCTTATCTAATTAGCTCTAATTAGGCTCCATTTTAGTCCGGGCGATTTCGTCTAATTGAATCGACTGTGACTGAGACACAAAGGCGGCTGCTTCTCGGCGAACTAGTTCTGTCAGTTGCGAGATTGGTCGGCAAAGNTTTAGTCCGGGCGATTTCGTCTAATTGAATCGACTGTGACTGAGACACAAAGGCGGCTGCTTCTTCTGCCTCTGCCGTTGCTGCTTCTCGGCGAACTAGTTCTGTCAGTTGCAAGATTGGTCGGCAAAGCGGTACATTTTTCCCAGGCTTTTTCTGCTGGCTGGATGGCTGGCTGATTGGCGCCGTTGCCGGCAATATGGAAAAGTACTGCCATTTTTGCACTTTGACAATCCATACATGCTCGATGGTGTAGCCTGTCTGTGGATGTGCTGCTGCTGCTCTTGCTGCACAGACGTTACGACAGCGTTGCTATCCTCTGCTGCTACCACTGCTGCACACTGCTCTCCCCCACCCTGTTTTCCAGAGTCTGTGTACGACGACAGCAACTCCATCGTTCTCTATCTCTGCCGATCCTAGACACATTCATTTCTCTCCCCCTTTATTCGCCTTGGTGATAGCATCTGTGTTGGTTGCGTTGTGGACCAATCACTGTGGTATATTGATTGATTTATGCTCTCCAATCATCATCATCCTCATCATCCTCTTGATCATCATTCCTAGTCCTGTGTCTAGTCTTGTGCCAGCATTGTGTCACCGCCATGTTTGATGTGTGTGCTAGATCGTTGTGATGTGATGGCTGTGGTGGTGGTGGTGGTGGTGATATACGATACTGTGACGTTCTTTTCCGCCATCTCTTTATGTTGATTTGATATTAATCATCTCCTTTTCTCTTTCCATTTTCTCCCTAGCATTGCAGATATCTACTGTAAAACACGCACTCACGGCTGCTGGCGCTGAGCATGTCGGAGAATAAGCAAGCCACCAGCAAGGAACAGCAAGCCAACGCCGCCAGTGGAGCACCAAGCAGCAGCAACAGCAGCAGCAGCAGTAGCAACAAGCAGCAAAAGTTCAGCGCGCTTAACATAAACAATCTCTACAAGGGCAAATCGCTTGAGAATCCTAAAACTTCGGGTACGTAGTCTCTCATTAGTGATGGTGTTCATTAGGGCGCTTCATTAGCGAGGGAATACTATAATGATGAGAAGGATGATGATGGTGGCGGCGGCGGCAGCCTTCGATTGATTGCGGCGGCCATGTGGTTCCCCCAATCAAGGCTTTGCCAATCATCATCAGTTGTTTGTTGTTTTTATTGAAGTGCACTCAATGCTAACTCCTTGTTCTTTCTTCTCTCTCTCTCCCCTTTTTAGTGGTCGTTCCAAAACATGGCCTGCAAACTGTCGGTAAAGTTGGCGCCGGTCGACGGGTTCCAGCAGCAACCGCAGCATCGTCAGCATCAGCGTCCAAGTTCCCAGCCGCTTCGCTGAGCAGCAAGCCGTCTGCCGTCGCGCCCGTGAACAGTCTCAGCAGCACCCACCACAGTCTAGTGAACAGCAACAGCTCTGCTCTAGCCGCCTCTGCCACCAGCTCCAGCTCGGCCTCCTCCTCCTCAGTCAGCATTGTACCCACGGGCGGTCTAGGATGGGCTGCCTCGGACAAAGATGATCCAGAAGCGTAAGTTCTGATTTTTGTTGAAGGAGATAAACATGTCGGTTTTCTAATGACCACCTTTCTTTCCCCCCTCCTGAACAGTAGCAACAGCGGTAGTGTAAACAACAAACATCTCGACTCAACATGTCTCTCGGCGACAACGACGGCGGCGGCCGATTCTCGCACCAGTGCTGCATCTCCGCTGAGCTCTGCAGACTGCTCCGCTGCAGCTTCGACGGAACAGCTTCACCACCCTCCTCCTCCCTCCGCTTCAAATTCAGCAGCAACAGCAGCACCACCTCCTTCTCATCCACTGAGCAATGGAGTCGGTCTTTCCAGCGGCGGTGGAGGTCCAACGGCGAGCCTGCATCACAGTGCATCCAGCGACAGACTGGCGCCCATGGGCGCTGCCCAGCAGCAGCAGAATGCTCTGAGGCACCCCAACAGCAGCAGATATGCCAATGGAGGCGACAGAGGTGGAGGAGGAGGTCCTGGAGGGGGCGGCATGATGGATCGCCGTCAAGCGGACCCCTACTTTGCTCAAGAGTTTCCGCAGCTCTCGGCGGCAGCCGGTGCAGCACCGACGACCTCCACCTCGGCCAAAGATTCCCGGCAAGGCACTTCAATGAGAGGAGGTGGCTCGATGAGAGACGAGCTCTACCTTCCAACAGCAGGTCACCGAGCAGGCAATCAGCAGCAGAACAATTCCTACGGCTCCTACAGCATTGGAGGTGGAGGTGGCGATCCGGAAGCGGAGATCAGCCTTCTCGGCACCTCCAGCGGCAGTACCAATTTGTCGTCGTTAGATGGTGGCCGACCCAGTGCCCGGAGCAGTAGTACAAAATGTAGGTGTTTTTGGGTGTGAATATTTGACATGATTACTAATTTGCACATCTTTTCCCCCACAGCCACCAACTCCTCTTCAATATCGTCGAATCCCAATTTTATCCTTCCAGNCTTTTCTTATAATGGTTATAATCATGATTACTAATTTGCACATCTTTTCCCCCACAGCCACCAACTCCTCTTCAATATCGTCGAATCCCAATTTTATCCTTCCAGATCCTCCAGCCTCCTCCTCAACCACTAACGCCCCCAACTCCTCCAATCCACTTTCAAGTCAGCAGCAGAGAAACTATGTAAGTTCCAATTGAAAAAGGCTTTGTGGTAGTTTANGTTTTTGGGTGTGAATATTTGACATGATTACTAATTTGCACATCTTTTCCCCCACAGCCACCAACTCCTCTTCAATATCGTCGAATCCCAATTTTATCCTTCCAGATCCTCCAGCCTCCTCCTCAACCACTAACGCCCCCAACTCCTCCAATCCACTTTCAAGTCAGCAGCAGAGAAACTATGTAAGTTCCAATTGAAANTCAATATCGTCGAATCCCAATTTTATCCTTCCAGATCCTCCAGCCTCCTCCTCAACCACTAACGCCCCCAACTCCTCCAATCCACTTTCAAGTCAGCAGCAGAGAAACTATGTAAGTTCCAATTGAAAAAGGCTTTGTGGTAGTTTAGTAGCGCGCGTTCTTTTTGTAGCGCGAAAGATGATCCTGCCTTCCATAGACACTGTGTGTCCTGCGTGCCATGCTGCTTCCTTTCACTACTTGCTGGAAGGGATAGTGTGTGCATGTGTGCATGTCCTCACGTGGTCGCAGCATGCAGGCATATCCCCTCAGCACGGCATTACCACGTTGGCACGCTGTGGCAGCGGTTCACATAGAGAGTCAGCACATTTTTCATTGCCCACTTTTCTTCTTACTGGCCGCCCTTACTTCCTTCCTGTCTGACTGTCTGCCTGCCCTGGTAGTCTGCCACTACCTAATTTATTGTGCCAGTGTTTTATTGTTCCCTGTCAATCAGCGTAAGAAGCGCTTGCAGCTGCTTTTCATTTATTCATATTAATACTTCCTCCTCTTTTTGGGTCATTAGAGTTAATTATTAATTTGGTTCCACCTTTTTTTCCATTTATTTAGAATTCTGGTAATCAGCAGCAGTTTTCATCACAATCATCCAGCAGCCAATATGATCAGCGCAATTCAAGTCACCACCATCACCACCACAGTCGCAGTGGTGGTGGCAAACCGAAAGAGAAGTAAGTTTGATTTTAAGTTTAACTTGATGAGTTTTATTGGTAGTAAAAAAACAGAGTGCACGATGATTAGTCGAAGATCCCTCTCACTGAAACCCAGTGTTGACAAAACACCTTCACTACCCACTCAGTATGAGTGCACTTCTACAAAAAATCTTTTTGTTTCACCATCAAGCTGACATTGAAATTGACTCTAATTCTGGCCTTTTTATTTTGCAGGAGATTTATGCCCACCATCATCTCTGACACTGAGCTCAAGTCACTCGATCAAATTCTACAGCAGGAGGATGAGTGTGCCTGGGCTCTGGAGGCGGAGATTGACTACAACGCTAAGCTCGACTTTAGCGACAGCAGCAGCGACGAGGGCGAAAGCGAGCGAGAGCAGCAGAATAAGAAGACGACGACCACTACCGCTGGCACCAGCAGCAGCAGCAGTGGCAGTCCCAGCAAGCCAACTGTGATTGACGCCACGAAGAAGTCCAGTACAAGCCAAGCAGATGCTTTGGGTCCAAGCAGTAAGGCAGCAGCAATGCTCGGCGGCCCGTCCGCTCACAGTGGCCTGTCGCACCGAGACCAACTGGAGCGAGACCGCCTCAATTATGTGGGCCGAAAGTCAGACTCGGTGTACGAGTTTAACAAGCACGAGGTAAGTGCCTTTCTAAATGTTGCTTGGTTGAGAATGTTACAGTATGAGAAGTTGTGAGTAGCACAATGATTAGTCGAAGATCCCTCTCACTGAAACCCAGTGTTGACAAAACACCTTCACTACCCACTCAGTATGAGTGCTACCACTACCTTCTTCTTCTCTACCCTTGAAATCTTCGCACTTTCAAGTGATTTTATTTCTCAGTGTACTAACTTGATGCTCTTTCTTTTTCAGCACGACATTGGCCATCGAGAGTACTACCGCGAGTCACACCGCTCGCAGCAGCTGCCCCGTGGTGGCGGCGGTGGAGCGGCCTACCGAGACCGCGATGGCTACCAGCGGGACTATCACCACCAGGGACCGCCTTCACTACAGTCACAGGCCGCCGCCTCCTCCTTATCTCGAAACTCCTCCACACTGGATCGAGATCGAGTTGGAGATCGAGGTGGTCGGCGACCGGAGGCTGACCTCTATCACCAGCACCCCCAACAACATCAACAACATCAACACCAACAACACCAAACGGCTGAGCCACTACGACCAAGGGTGGAGCCGCGTGAAGTGGAGCCCGTTGACCCACTGAAGAAGGCCCCTATTGCTGGCCCAAGTGGTGGTGGTCAGAAGAAGCCGGGCGAGGTGGACGCCAGCTGGCGGCCGAAGCGTTCTCAGGAGGACATTACCTCGGCGGTGATGCGTGGACGACACCTGCGCGACGATGAACTGCCTGGCGGTGAAGTGCAGCCAAGTGCTGGTGCTTCAGCAGCAGCAGCAGGCAATGCAGTCGATCCCGAGCTTACCCCCTCGCCCTCCTCCTCTCTGAAGTCGTCAATGCCACCGCTGGCAAAGGATCCGCGAGATCGTCACGGCGACGCCTCACTCTCTTCAGATGCCCCCGCTTCACGAGCCTATGAAGGCGGCGGAAGAGGAGGAGGAGGAGGTAATAGAGGCAGTGGCAGAGAAGACCCGAGTGGCTCCTACAGAGACGACCGACGAGACGACAGACGAGACGATCGAAGAGGAGATAGAGATCGCAGAGATGACCGAGACAGGGAGCAGCGCGATCGCTACGCCTCGAAGAACCTGCGAGACGTCAACACCTATGCGACCAACCTGCCGCCCAGACTGCAGCGACAGGCAGTGTCGGAGTTGCAGCAGGGGGACATGCGGTACGAAAGGCCGCAGGTTGCTTCTGGCGGTCGTGGGGGATCAACAGCAGCAACAACACAGCTTCAGCCCCGAGATGCTCGAGATTCTCGTGGTGGTGGAGAGCGCTACCAGGACGGGGAAGGTGGTGGACAGTCTTCTCGTGGAATGCGACAAAGTGATAGAACCACTGATGATCTCTATGACTCGCGAGGAAATGATTCACGGCGTGATCGAGGCGACCGAGGTGATCGTGATGGTCGAGAAGTTCGGGAAGGAGGTCGAGGCGGTGACCGAAGAACGCCTGAAGATGCCGCAACCTCTTCTTCTCGCACTTCAAATGCTCGCTCTGAGGTGGTGGGCAGCTGGCGAAACAGCAAACGAGAACAGCCTTCCCAGCCATCGCAGCAAGCGGACCAGCGACGAGACTTGCCCGTGGTAGTGGACAAGTCCTCAAGCGATGCGGCCCAGCAGCCGCAGCCTTCAGCATCAG